ATCATGTTAACAATATATAATATGATTGGAACCTCGTTTGTGTGTGGTTTCCAATTCAATAATAAGAGTTTATACTATACTTTTTTGATATACCATTAGTGGAACCTCTAACCTTGACATTTGTTATTATTATTGTTTAATCCTTACATTAATTTTCCATCTCCACGTTCTCATCATCTTCTTCTTCTTCTCTTTCTTTATTATTATTATTATTATTATTATTATTACTACTACTACTACTACTACTACTACTACTACTACTACTACTACTATTATTATTATTATTATTATTATTATTATTATTATTGTTGTTGTTGTTGTTATTGTTGTTGTTGTTGTATTATTGTTATTTATAATTTGTACAAATAACCTCCCTGTGGTTCGACCCCGGTCTTCCCGGGTTATTTATTACTTCGACACTCTTGCACTTGGGAGAAGACATCAATCTTTTAGTCGTGTCATGCATCTATTAAAAAAAAAATTCATCAAGAAATACTTATGTTGATATGCACATAGAGAACCCTATGTTCCTTCAAAAGGTGGTTGGCTCAACTTCTAGTTCTAGCAACATATATGATTTATAGATAATCCTTTTAGGAGTATAGTGATTAATACAATGGGAATTAAACATGGTTATTTAGGTTAAGGTTCACATAAAATCTCTTTAGATGAAGAACTAAATGTAGATGCAATTAGGTTTTTTGAAGTTTTATAAGATTATAATGAACTATTATATTATGAGTTTACAAGTCGCTAAATTATCTCTCATTGCAAGAGTATTTACCATCAAGTTGGATTATAGTTTAAGTGAAGTTAGTTATGATAGCATCTTTAAATAAGCTAAAAGCATGTTATCTAAAGGGTATAGGTTGAAAAAGAGTTTTTGCACTGCAAAATCTATGATGAAACCTCTTAATCTATGATACCAAAAAATTAATATATATCTAAGCTTTTTTCTATTGTACTATGGTGAATATATAAACTTTGCTTAATAAAAAACTTGTCAACATGCTTGGTATAAACCAATAGTTGTAGAGAAAGGACATTTATTGCATATAAAAAGTAAGATACTTCTTAATCACTTGTATGTTGCAAATGTTATTTTTATTTTCAAAGACTGTCAAGCATATGATATAACATCATCCATATAATGCAGCGGATGAAGTTATTGTGCACCCTTCTGATGGTGAATCTTGAAAGTATTTTCAAAAATATAGTGCATACATAGTTTTTAATTAAACCATGAAACATATGTCTTCACCTGTGTATAAATAGATTTAATCTATTTGGATCCTTTGCTACACTCTATTTTTATTGGTTAGTCATATTAACAGTTTATTACTTACCCTCATGAATATGTATAGAGCTAAAATTTACATTTTTATCTCTTGTTATACGTGTTCCTTACAGGCCAAGTAGAAATATAGATTTTTTTCCCTTTAATCGTTGATTGATAAGTTAAATCAATTATGGTCAATTGAGGTTATGACATATGAGGTCTCAAGAAAATAAAATTTTAAGATTAAAACAACATTGATGTGGATTACAAATGGTTTTCCTACGCACAATATATTTTCATGTTTAAGCATATATGAAAAATTATCTTGTCCATATTGTATTTGAAATAATAAGGCCTTTATCTTAATGAATGGTGGAAAAGTTTTTTGTTTTTTTTTCTTTTTCCACTGGTGGTTTTTACCAAGTCATCATCAATACAAAAGCAACATATAAGACTTCTTGAAAGGTAAAGTTGAAAGGGATGTTGCACCACTAGTATTGTCAAGTGAAGAATTGCATGATGTAGTTTTATAGAATAAAGGCATTGTGTTTAGTTTTTATTTTGGTAAATAGAAGTTTTATGGTTTTGGTGTGATCTATAATTGGGTAAAGCAAAGTACTATTTAGGATCTTCCATATTGAAAGACTAATGTCATTTGTCATAATTTGGATGTCATCCATATCGAGAAGAATGTATTTGATAACATTTTTATGGATGAGAAAAGGGAAATTAAGGACAATATAAAAGCTAGAATGGATCTAGCTTTGTATAATGATAGTTATAATATGGAGTTGTTTAATAATAGGTTATGTGTCACAAAGCTGAAAGTTATTTTCATATTAAACAAGGATGCACAACTTTTTATCTATGAATGGTGATGGCATTACAGTGTTCATCATGAAAGGACACCTAATTCACATGATATCGATCAACACTCATTCATTATAGGCAGTAAAAAAGGAATTCCTTCTGTAAGAGGTCCATATTTTGATAAAATTATTGCAGTGTGGAAGGTTGACCACTCAATGTAAGTTATGTATTGGAATTATTTATTTTGATTAGTTTATTTTAAGATATACAATAAATAAAAATGATAGACTTTGTGTGCTTTTGTGTTTCAAGTTTATAAATGTTGAAGTTGCATGTGTTTATAACAAGTGTGATGAATAATCTTTCAGGGAATTTAGTGGAGTCAACTCCAAGATAATCCTAAATGGATGACTATGGTAGATACTTGGTTAGGATCGTTTAAGATAAGATAATATATATATATTTTGAGTTAGGATATAGTTGTTTTCTTCTAGCATTTATAATATATTTTATGTCATATATGAAGTTAATTAGAAGATTATGATATTGTTATGGAATTTTTATAAATATTTAAAGACTATATTGTATAATAACAAAGTGTCTAAAAATAAAATTGATTAGTGGTATGCTTGAGGCTACTTGTGTTGTGTAGTGTTGGTTATATGCAAGAAGTTAGTAGGCTGAGATTTTGAGTAAGGCCTCGTATAAGGGAAAATATGGAGAGATTTTGTTAAAATTATATAAATTCATTCATGTTGAATTTTATATTCCTGAGCTTATATATGAAAAGAATTGTGTGTTATGATGCATAATGGAAAATGTCCTAATAATAATGTACAAATTGACAATGCATGCAAGATTTTGTTGGGAAAGAGAAAGCGTGAGTGTGGTTAGGAGTTTGGAAAAACCACAATGTAATTATATAAGAAAATTAACAAATTTCATGTTTAGATATTATTATCTAAAATTTTCAAAATCTCATATATATTTAACCAATATTTTTAAACAAGGTTATGTGATTTGTGGTATGATACCTATAAATATACAAAAAATCAAGTTGACTTTGATGACGTCGACATATTGAAGAAGTATATACCAAGTCATGTCATAGAGAATAACTAGAAACAATTTCAAGAGTTAAAGGAATTTGAAGATATTAGAAGGCGAACAAGATTCGTGTCATAAAACCAAAATAAAAAAAACACTTGGTTTGGTGAGCAAGCATACTAGTGGATCACTCCTATTTATCAACCATGAAAAGTGTCTGGTAAGATTTTTAAATTATTGTCTTTTTTTTTAATACGATGTTTATTTGTTAGAATTTTTTACTACTTGTTTATTTTGTAGGAATAGCATCTTGACATTAGCCTACTCTGATGTAGTTATATGGAGAAACTTATATTAGAAAAGTGAATAAAGGGAAAGGAGTACAGAAGTTTGTAGATAGTAAAGTTAAGGGGAAAAAGGTGAAGAAGTTTTTAGATATCAGAGCTAAGGTGTTTGTTGTAGTTTTTTAATTCTTGTATTTTTTTAAATTATAATTGACCATTTGTTTTGTTTTATAGAAAACATATAATGTTTCAATATTTGCAAAACATGAATAAAACATTTTCATTCTTCTTCCTCACAATTCCTAGTTATGGTTGGAGATTAGAGCAATTGATGATCAGGTTTATTAAATGCTTATGACATCTAGGTTAAAGAAATAAAATCAAGTCATACTACCATCAAGTCATACTATCATAGTAGTTCAGCTCAAGCCAAATAACACTAGATTTTGAGTTGAGGGTTCTAGATAAAGTCGAGGAGTAAGTAACCAAATTAGAAGAAATGAAAACCAATTTAAAAAAAGAAAATATAAAGAATTGGAAGAAAATAATGGAATATATGTCTTCACTTTATTGTTTTCATTCTGGTTCTTTTAGCTTAGGATTTCTTCCTTTTTATCTTCACCTTCATTAATTTGTGTAGTGACATATTTATTGTTGTAAAATTAATATTTTTATGAATATTGAAGTAAATAAAATTTTTACCTTCAATAAAATTGATAGTTTTTTGTTGTATTGTGATTTTTGTTTTTTTATTTAACAAATACATAACTAAAACAAAATTCATTAACTTTCTTGTGGAATCACTAACGGACAAAAAACTTGTAAGTGATTCCATTAGGAAAGGAGATATTATTTCATCAAAATGTTACAAAATGGTTAGGAAATTTTAGACTTTTTAAAAGATTTAGCGGAGGAGTTAGCAATGACAATTATGTATCAATTCCATCTCCCTAATCCGTTAGCAACATTTTAGGTTTTACCAATGGAATAGGCAATGAAATATTTCATCGATAATATTTCTCGACGAAACTTGTGGGGTACTCTTGATTTTAAAAGGAAAAGGGGGGCAAATGTTTCAGACTACATCATCCATTTAATACTCTGAGGATATTTTAATGCTTGGATTTTATGGGATTTAGTAAAAAAAACATTATGATTTTTCTTTTATGTTGAGCTAATCACTATATATAACCCGGTTTGTAAAATTTTAACTTGATTTGATTTAATAATTGGATTAAGATTTTTGCTCGTTTCTGACAGCAAGCTAGACGTTCCACATAATCTTCATAGACAAAGGAAGGAGTAATATAATTAATTCAAAGAAACTCGAAGAATCATAAAACGATGAAAAGAAAGAAAAGAAGATTTATGAATTGAAGCAATTGGTCATTGGTGATATGATAATAATCAGAATACATGAAAAGAAGGATTTCATGATCAGCTCAAAGTAAAACAAACAGCACAAGCTGATCACAAAGCTTGCAAAAGATCATCAAAGTCATTAATACTCGTGAATTCTTGATGTATCTATATATATATATATATATATGAGGAATTCTACCCTATCATACATATATCATCTAAGGTAAGACGGATAGAACTCCCATAGCTATCTCTATAACCTGCAACAAAACCACCCCAGTAGAGATGGCCACACTCAACGAAACAAGTAGCACCATCCCTAGTGCCAAACTTGGTCTAACATTCATCAAAAAGTTCTGCAACATCTGCACTGCTTCACAAACATCGTTGTTGTAGTTGCAATGCATGCAATATTGTTTCTCCCACTCCATCCAGTGAGAAGGTGGGTTGTTGCATGCCTCCAACATCTTCATCTCCTTAATTCGTAATCGCAGTACAATCATGCTTTCATCTACAAGCTTACCCTTATAGTCTCGCCCCTTATTTCTTCTATCAAGGGCGACAACGGTGTTTCTTCTAGGGCATGGTTTCACTGAAGAAATTGGCCTCAAGCCAAGCTTGGAGGATGAGAATTTTGTTGATTCCATGAGTGAAAACAGAGAAGTGCTCAAGCAAAGTTTTTCTTTTCTTACGGCTGGGTTTTACAAGATGCGAAGGAATAAAGGGTTATTTATATATATAGCAAGGGGAACTTGTGATTCGTGGTGGCTTTGTTTACGCCTTAATTATTTCTACTCCTGTTTAAAACCGTGTTAAGAGGAGTTTGAAATTCTGAGTCGAGTTAGAGCTCAATAAAAAAATCATAAGCTAGGTAGGACACAACTGTTCGAGATGCATGAACGTTGAGAAGGAAGGAATGTCTGTTTCGAAGCAATAAAAAAGTCATAAGCTAGGTAGGACACAACTTCGAAGAAAAGAAAACTACATCAGGATTTTCAACATTCCTTTGAAACCGATGGCACTTTCTTCGAACATGTACTTAGGTTTTCTTTTATAATAATATGGTTGCATTATAATTAGCACTGTATTTTAAAATATATATATATATATATGAATGGTAAAAAGTTAAATTGATGATTTTTTTTATATTCTTAAAATTTTTTAATATAAAACATGGCAATGTTAAAAAAATATTTAAATAAACATCAAATTATTTTTTTCCAAACCCGAACATATTTTATAATATATCATCAAATGTCCATATAAAACGAATAAAATGAAAAATCTTAAAAGAGAACTTCAAGAACGCACATAGACCATTAAATTAATGGGATTGATAATTGAATTCATTTTAAGAGCACAATCGAATGGTCTAGACGTTTTTTTTTATTGTGTGATATTTTTATGTTAAAAAATATATATACATAGATTTTTATTTGATTTGAATTTGTATTGCGCACTTACGAATATAATAACATTAAAAATTTTCTTAAAATGACAATATATGTAGAGTGATTTGAGGTGGTAGCAGCTGTTTCCACATTTTCAAGACGAAAGGGCAAACCGCGTGGCCAAGCAAAGTGCATGCACCTGGGCATGATCTTTCCCACCGTGAAACCATAAAATATGTTATCCCTCGACTTCCGGCGAAAAGAAACAAAAGAATCAAAACATCATATCAACTGGGATATTTGATAAAACAGTGACTGTTTATTTTGATCTACAAGATCAATTTATTTATTTTTTTAGATATTCGGATGAGAGATACTCATAGAAAACAATTATAAAAAGAAAGTGATTAATTATTGTAATTTTAATCATTAAAGTGATCAAATTTGGTATTTACATACTTCATTTGATCAAAAGAGTTTGAATAGCTGCAGTTATTCATTATCAAATCGACTGGAAAAAGCTCAGAAAGATTTGGTGTTTATGGTTGAATTTTTTTTGGTTTTTTACTGAATTTTGGCAACTTTAATGGATCAAGCCAATAGCAAGCTGCCTCTCTTTCTTCTCTTTTCAAAGATCGGACCCCGTTGAAAAGGACCCTATAATTTCTAGATTTGAAAAAAAGAAAAAAACCGACCCAATAATTTATGAGTTGGCTTTATTGTTCATAGATAAACATGGAACCAGCTGAATTTCTTTTTCAATTTTTTTTAATTATACCTTTCTATAGCTTAATTAGAAGAAATTAAATTTGAAATTATGATAAAAATATAATATTTAAAGATAAAGGGCTAACATATAAGATACAGAAAAAATATATGGCTAACCACACATTAGCAAAAAGTTTTCTTTTTATTCAAAAATCTATTTTCTTTATTTTTTTTCGTCTTTGAACTAGATTTATATCATTTTGATTAAGATTTCACCAACTATATGAAATTGAAAAAATCACTTTAGATGTTTTCCAATTTAGAAAATTGACAAAAATGATTTAAAATCATTATATGTGTATTTTTAGTAATATAAGTTATAATCATTAAGGTAAAAGTTAAAACTCTATACTTTTAATTAATTAAAGCAAAATTTTAACTCGATTTTATTTAAAAAAAATTAAATTAGAAGTTATTTCTAATTAAGCATTCTTATAACTCTTTGAGTAAAAAATTAAAAGTAACTTAAATCAATTTCTAAAAATCATATCAAATATAACTTACGTGATCCAAACCTATAGTTTCATATCACATATCTCTCAAAAGTTAATACAATTTCTTTTCAAACACACACAATATATGCACGATTTTAAAACTAATCATCTCATCATCTCCAAGGTAGTTTTAGATTTTTTTTAATAAATGAACAGAAGTTACAAAATGAATATATCCAGAAAGAAAAGTTAAAATTGTTTAATATCATTTTTTTTCTATTTTTTTTAAGTTAATTGAAAATTTGTTTGGTTGAGCATATTTTCTTTTAGTTTTTTTGTTTTTTTTCAATGTATTTTTATCTAAATAACATGCTAATTTTTTATGTGTGCTCCAACTAGAAACTATTATATAAGTTAGAAAATCATTTATAATTAACATCAAAGCCGCTCTCATAATAAAATTTTATTTCCTCGAGATATTATAAGTCAATACTCTAAAAGATCATAATTGTATCAACTTATCAATCAATAATCAAAAATAAATATTTATATTCTTGTCTAGATTACACAAACTTGGTATGATTATTGACAAAAACATAAACTCAAGTCTTATAAACATCAAGACTACTCTTATAGCTTTTTTGTTTTTTTTTTTAAATGCACTTCTACCTCTAAATGAGATGCTCAAATTGTTGAGACTAGTGCTTGTAATCAAAGTTTAAAAGGCTCTGAACTTGGTTTTTGCCTTACTCCAAGCACTTTGTACCAATCTAGGGTGTCCTACATCCAAAATTGGTCCTAACTCTTGGCAGCTTCAATGTAAACCCCCGACTCAAAGTAAACAAACCAGGGTCGCATGAAGAATTTTTGAAAAATGATAATTTATGAGAAAAAAATTTGGACTAGATGAAAAATCTTCAATTAATTTATTTACATATGAGATGGAGTAGAGAAATAAATTGGTATGCAAAACGACAGCTAATTCATAAATCACACGTAAATCAACAATCAAGTAAAATTATTATTTAAATGAATTTGTTTTCTAAAATAAGGTGAAAATAATTAGACAATAATAATAAAAATAATAAAATAAAACTCTAAATAAATTAATAGATGATATTACACGTGAATAACTATGTTGATCACTGAAACAAGCTTGCGTACAATTGCATAAATTTTGACTGAAACTGAGAAAGATATGAAGAAATTTTCATTATAGTTAGGTATTAAAATCCCCAAAATATTAGTTAAAAATCTTGATGATTTAAAGATATAAAACAATTGTAAAAGTAATAACGGCAGGGCAAATACAAGAAGTGATACCTGACTTATTAAGTAGTGGCATTTTTGTAATTTATGCTGATGTATATAAAAGGGCAAAAAGGAGCTTCCATTTGCTTATTTTTTTTTTTAGATTAATGTGGGTGTCTGGGTCAGCTTGCGCATACCACGACTAATCCCACGGACCCTGAAGTTAACGACCATGTAAGTTTTCAGTGATCATCATACGAGCAACCAAGAACTCGAACCTGAAACCACAGAGGGAGCAAACCTCGTAATACCAAATTTTTGTCACTTGACCACCACCTAAATAGTTTCCATTTACTTATTCTTCTTCAAATTGGTGGTTGTTCTTCCAGATTAGGGGTGAGAGAGGGTTTAAGAGTGGTTTTACTATGGGAAAAACAATCTAAGAGAAAGATTTTAGAGAGGGAGGATGTTTTAGGAGCGGAATAAATTAGTGAAAGAAAGCTTGGATGGAAGAGGAGAAGTGGAGAATTGACAAAGACTCACTAAATCAAGTTCAAATTTGGTTGGGTAAGGTTTTTCTACAATCTATTCTCTTTTATTTTAATGCTTTTATAATAAGAGAGAGAAAGAGCTAATTGTTCATTCTAGTTGCCCGGGGAAATTTGGGGGGAATGGGTATTTTAATTCTAAATGCTCAAAAGTGGTAGATAAAGTAGAATAATGATGAAAATTGAAAGAAAAAACATGGGCAATTCTAAACCATGGGGCCAGCCATAAAAATAATTTGGAGGAAAGGAAGAATTGAGTTAAATTGTGTGATATTAGACATAATGTCATGGCTTTCTGATACTAAGACAACTCATTATGTCATGTTGAAAATCGCTAGACTCATTTCTGTGGAACCCTACACTAGCTTCGAATAATTTTAAGAATATATACTTCAATTCATACACCTAAATGTTTCCTAAAATTATCTTTCATTTTATGTATTCTAGATATCACAAAGTCCTTGTTTTTTGTACAATAATTTGCTTTTATTAATGATTTTTTTTTTAATTTCATGATCACTTCAGTCTTGCCAATGATCAAGTTTCTAGAGTCATCCTCATCCAGTATAATTAAATATGGGTTTACTAGCTTTAGTATCAACCCTCTATATTTAGTCTTCAAGTGTTTTATGTTTTCTGTCATATAAAACTACTCCTGAAACTTTGTGTTATCAACTTAGTCATCCACACTCTTGTATTTTTTATTGAATTCTTTCTAATAAGGCTCAAAACTTGTGTCAAACCCTCTATATCGTTAAAAATGTTCTTTTGATTTCTTTCTTAGCCAATTATCATTTCAATTAAGCAACTTTCCTCTAGGCAAGTCCAATCAATCTCCTTTGGGGTTGTTGAAGCATTTTAGTTTGGCTTTCTTATTCTTAGTCTTTAATGATATTTGGGGTCTTTCACTAACCTACTCAGTGAATGGATATAAGTACATTGTTATTTTTGAATATTTGTTTTATTTTATATATATATATATATATATGTTTTTGTTCTTTATGTAATTCATTTAAGACTTATAATGTTTTTATTCAATTTCAAGAGTTAGTTGACACTTAGTTTGGAACTAGTATAAAACAATTAGTTTTGTAAAATAAATTTCTATTTTAAAATTGACAGGATTGCTCATTATATTATTTGTCCTTATATACATGATCAAAATAAGGTTGTGGAACATCGTCACAAGAATATTATTGACATTGGTCTCACTTTACTCAAACATGATTCTTTCTTATAAACATTTTACTCGTAT